ATATCTGAATTATAACTTATAACACTTATAATAAAACTTTTAATTATAAGAGATTTGTAATTTAAATATTAAACTTAGATTTATTATACATCTTTTACTTTTTATATTTTCTATATTATTTATACAATATAAAGTAATCTGAATTAAAGATATCACTGCAGTTATCAAACAATATATTGCAATTCATGTTACAATTAAATTTATTAATGTTGCAATTAGGTTGCAACTCAAATGAAATTTAAAAATGATTAGATAATTATCTTTAGTGTGAATATACTTACTACATGGGAAGCAATCAGTAGAAAAGGAAAAAAATCTATCTAATTTTATATACATGACTGAGAACAGTCAAGTAATCCAATAATATAAATTTTAATCTGAATTTAGATTTCTTCCTTTTCTACTGATTGCCTTCTATATTATATAATAATAATTACTATTATGTAAAATACTTTAGGTTGTATATTTATATATAATATTAGTTATTAAAAAAATTATTAATATTAAATATAATAATATATATATTTTTTAATAAAGATATCTAATTAAATTTTTTTAATAAATATTTAAAGCAAAAGAATAAGAAATTTAAGACTAATAATAATAAGTTATTATAAGTAAAGAAATTTAATTTATTATTATATTTAAAAGATAACTTTTTAAAGTAATATATATTATTAGTATATAGTTATTTTTATTTTTAAAGTTATTATTTATGTAAATAAATAAATTTTAATTTTAATTTCTTTATTATTTACTTTTAATTAATTATTTTTAATTTTATTAGAATACTAATTATGCATTTTATTTACTCTTAATATTTTTTTCTTAATATAAACTTCATTATTATTGGTAAACATTTAAAAGAAACAAACATTTTAAGGTTTAAAAATAGTTAAATTATGACCATCAAATGAAGTTAGATCAAGGACTCCTTTTATTTTTTATATAATAAGACTAATAATGATTTCTAAATTTAAATAAATTAAATTCAATAAAATAAATTATGCACGAGATTTTCGACTATGATGCAAAGGATTGTCTTTTTTGGGGATATTACGAAAAAAATTTTTTTTTTTGATCAAATCTTTTTACTTGATTTTAAAAATAAACAATTCGTCCAAAATTTTCGGTTTCATATTTGCTTTACATAATAATATAAAAATAATTTCGACGTCCTATTAAAGTAATTGCGTCTTATGTATGTTTAATTTCTTAGAATAGCAACTTTGAACATTAAAAAAAAAAAATTCGAATGATAGATTTGAACTTCAGATAAATTCTAAAAAAATGTATTTTTAATTTTAATTACGACAAAAAAATTGAGACAAAAAAGAGTGTGCATATTTTAAAACATCATGTGAAAAATTTTTTTACCATCACATTATAACATACAGCTTGTAAATTAAAATTCAGATATTGCAAGATAATTATTTAAGGTAAACTCTTAGAATATCTACGCTAAGTCAAAAAAAAAAAAAAAAAAATAACGTAAAATTCTTCAAATAAAATCAGCATGCAATCAATATACGCCATTTTGAACAAAATTCCAAGTATTTGACAATTTTTTTTTTTACTCCAATGGGATGGATGATGTACGACATGACATGCATACTAATAAAAAATTATGCATATGTCGAAGAATATAATTGTACATTTTTTTCAAAAAAAATAAGAGTAGCAAATTATGGACATATAAATCGCCAAGATGTGAAGCAATTTACAATTACCGTATAAAAAAAAGGTAGGTACCAACCCACTCGAAAATTTTGAGGAACGAGCGTCAGTCAAGTGACCAACAAAGAATTATTACATCATGATTTCTTCCGTGTTACACATAACCAAATCATGACGCAGCACATATACGATGAATTGAAACACACATAAACGGGAAAATTTTTTATTTATTTGTGTGGAAAATTGTTATGTACTTGAACGGAAAGTTCTAAATTTCTACACTTTTACATGGTGAACAATGGGGAGCTGCGAGGCAATCATGATTAGAAAAGTGTTAGAGTTTTTGCGAATATGTATTTGATTAATCGTTGGAAGTTTCTGTTACATCAAAATAATACCATACCTAATTGATCGTATAAATAAACAATTTTATAATTAATTATGGAAATTTATTATATCCCTTGGACCCAATCATTCAAATATCACTGTGACAATTATTTTCTTAATGTTTTCTAGGCTCTTACTGCGGAATGAAAATTGGTTGTGTCAAAATTATTCACTTTCAAACGAAATGAACATATTAATTTTATAATGTTATGGTATGGTGTACAACGCAACGCAACACAACTCACTTACTTCACACTGTCTCTGTGTAAAATTCGAGGGGCTGAGATGAAAAGAAGGCCCCTTATCGTTTGATGCCCTCGCAGCCTGTAATTGGAGTCCATCAAAAATTGGGAGCTATCTGATCTTTATTTTCATGTAACAATCTACAATTCGTCTATACCGATATGGGCCGTCTGCTAAATAAAATCACGTTCCTGAAAATATAATTTCTAAGTTTGATTAATGCAAACGCCACATATTCAAGAACGGATTATTCTTGCATTTGAATCCTGTTTTGTAATTATACAGAGTTTGTTCACAATATTGTTACTTGAAAGTCCCATAAAATTCTCAATTAAAAATTTCGGTTTTTATGCAAGTATTCGGAAGTCAAGCTCGGTGACAACAATTGATCTTCTAGTTATGTTATTGTCATAACCATGAATGCAGTTGAAGGTAATGCAACCTGATCACTACCTGTTATTACATGGAAATCAATGGGTGCAATGGGTGATCTTTTGGTGAACAACTTTTATTTATTATTATTTTAAGACTTGAATGTAAGGTCTAACCAAACTCTTGATAATCCAACTTCTAAATTTATCATTAAAGAATATCTCTTTAGCCCATCACATATGATCAAAATTTAGTATGAAAGTTGTAGTAATTTCCGGGGTATAAATTCCATGTAAATCAATTATATTCATTGGCTTGATCTATTAATAGGAATAATGAATATTTCTTTTATTTTTATTTTATTTTTATTTTTTTTTGATTAGCGCTCTGCAAAGGTTAATTATGAAAAACCTTTTAAAATCAGATTTATTTTCGTCCTGGTCTCTTCTCCTTGGTTGATAATTTTCTTTTTCATGTCGCTTTGTTTGATCCGTTTACATTCCACATGATGATCATGTTCACCTATTACCTTGATGATTGATAAAAATAGTAAAATTTTTTGAAACAAACATAAAGCTAAAATCTATTAATAAATTTAAACGTCCTGTTGTGTATATTAATTCTTTGATCGTTGACTCAATTAGTTACTAGTTATAAGAGTTTTCTTTATATTTAGAAATTTAACAAAAAAATGAATCAAAAACCACAAAATCAAGGATTTTAAGAACTTTAAAACCAAATATTTTCAAGGATGATTACATCCACTGCACGAGATGTTGGAGGCTTCAAAGGAAATAAAGATCAATCGTATTTGATATTATTCCAAAAATTATTCGATGATTCATTTATTTATTACTCTTTTTAACCTTCATTTAAAATTGTTATTTTGAAGATCATTTCTTAAAAAAAAAAATTTTTTTTTTTAAAATCATTCCATCTTTCGATACCAAACAAACAAGTGTAGCTCGATTAAATAAGGTATTTTTTTAAAAAAAACGAAGAATCAAAAATAACACAAAAAAAAGAGAAAGAAATAGAAAACATTGTTGTATCAATGGATATGCAATAAAAGAACAACAGGCCACAATGTACGCCGAGGACATTGGACGATTATTATTTAAATTCCGTTAATGGAAATTAGTTGGGCTTTTTTTTACACCTTAATTTAAGCCTTTTAAGCCTTTTAAGCTTAAAATAGAAATTGCAAATAACTTTGATTGGAAGGAAAAAAAACCTACGCATTCGCATTGCGCATAACATTGGCTTTGAAGAAAAATCTTGCAAAACTGCGGTTAATTATTTGGTTTTGTATTGTGTTGTAATTAAATGAGGAGATTTCTCTTAAAAAAATGGAAGATTCAAAATTAGGTTTATCCGAAATTAGAGGGGAGCAGTTACACAAATTATTTTTGTTTTAACAAAAGTGGTTTAGCGGGTCCATCTTTTTTTACTTTTTTTTATTGAAACAACTTCAAAAAAAACTTATTATTTCGTTGAATTTCAAAGGTTTAATTCATGACTTTATGCTGATCATATCCACATGCCCGAGATGAACTTGTCTGATGATATTTTTTAATCTTTTAAACTAGAATCAAAACGAAAAAGGTTTAACGTGTACATTTACATTTATTTATTTTATTTTTTTATTTTTTAAGATTTGTTCTTTATTCTACCTGAAACCGAAATATTCTATTGATTGATGAAAAAGGTAAATATAAATTGTACTCTTTTTTTTTTTTTTTTTTTATATCAAAAAGATCAAGAAAATTGTTCATAATACGACAAGCTTCCATAAAAGGTCGAGTGGTGATACCCCTGCAGAGAGGTTTGGTGTAAGGCTTGGCAAATTTATATATAAAAAAAAAATTAAATTTTGTTTAGTTTAGTTTATCATAGTTGAGTTTGTACATTATGTGAAGCGTGATCATAATTCAAAAAAAGGTTAGTCCCTATCGCATGGTTGGTCAAATTTGGTAATAGCAATTAAAATATATTATTTAAAGTAAGAAAAGTAAAAATCAAAAATTCTATATATAAAGGACAAAATCTCGTACAATTTAGTTCCTTACTCTTGAGCAAATCTTGCAATTTTAGGAGCCTTTTATAAAACGAAGACAAAAAAAAAACCTTTTCAAGTTAACTCCAAAAAAGCAAATTTGTTCATAAAAGAGTCGTAAATAGTTAATGTCAAAAAAAAAAAATTTATAAAACAAAAAAAAAGACGTCTAATATTTTATTTAGTATATTTTTATACTGAAAATTTTTTATTTTTAAAAAAACAAACCTTTTTATAACGAACCTTTTTTTTATTTAAAAAAAAAATGAAATTCTCTTTAACGATTTTCTCTGCTATTGTAGCAGTTTCCGTTTTACTTTTTACCGTTACACCCATCAATGCTTGCGAAGAATCATGTCGTCAGGGAATCTCGCTTGCTTTCGGTGATAATTACTCCATTGAAATTAAGACATTGTTTAAGACATTTGTCGAAAAGTTGGAAGAAAATGTATACTTTGGACTTGATTCAGTCAAAGCATCAACTAAATCAGCATGTAATAAAGCAATCGAAGAAGGAACAGAAAAATTTCAAGAAACCTTTTCGGAAAGTTTAGAAGAATTAATTGAAAATTCGATTTTTGAACAATCACCACAATTTAAAGGACAATGTCAACACCCATTAAGAGTGAATCAACCACCAGAAGGTGTCGCATGGACCATGGACGATTGTAAGAACCAAGATTATATTTGCGGAAATCCGCCAGCCATCTGCCACTTTATGGACCAATATGTTAAACCTAGAAATGTTAAGAATGTAATTGAATCATTAACTAAACGTCTCAGTGGTAATGGCTCTTTTGTTAAATCCCTTACAAAGTCCGTGATTGATGCCGCCAAGTCGTCCGGGGTGAAAGGAGATGACCTTAAGAAATTTACTTCAGCTGCAAAAGATAACATTTTAAAAACATTCAACATCTTTTCATCCTTCTTCGCTTCTGAATTTTGTAAAGGAACTTCATGTGATCATTATGATTATGACATCAAGATGAAACTTTTAAGTTATCCTTAGTTAGTTATTTCCAACTTTTTTTATTAATTTGTTATTTTAATCTTTAAATTATTTTTAATTTAGAATCAATCTATCGTGTATCCATTTTTGCATTTTCAACTTAATTTTTTTTTCGCAAAACAAACAAACATTTTACAAGACAATTTTTTTTTCATTTTTTTGTTTACGAGATAGAATTTGTGATCTATCCGCAGCTGACTGGAAAATTCTAGATAGAAGAAAAAAATGTGAAAATTTATTGGAAACTTTTTCTTTTAATTTAATTTTTTTACTTTTAGCGTTTCCGTAATTTTTTTATCATTTTTTTTTATTTAATTTAAGATAATGTGATTGTTTTAATAAATGGTTAATAATGATTTGAGTTCGAATATTTAATCAAAAATATCATCGTCCCATTTTTTTCGTTGAAGAACTGCGCCTCATTTTGTCAAACTTACACAAAAAAAACATCCATTTTTTTTTTGATCTTGCCTATATCGTGATTTAATAAATTTTCTAAAAAAGAAAAAGACAATATAAATTGAAGCAATCGGCATTTGACGAACAAACTTCGTCAAATAAGTGCACACGATCGATAGCACGAACTTAATTACATGCATGGTGTGGTGGTCAAACTAAATTCTTAATTGGGCGTACTATAATAATAATATCACAATTGAACCTTAATCTTTTAAAATAAAACTTGTTCCGATAAAGTTTTTTTTTAAAAACCTTTTTGAACAACCTAAATCTCACGGGTCGAAACCTGGAGAATCAAAATATTATGTTAATTTATGCATATGGATATCACAAGATTATTATTGTTAGCATTTTTTGGGAGAAATTCTTTTAATCTTACATAATCATTGCAGCATACTGTATTTGTGTCGATCAATGCTTTTTTCATAAATCTATTTTTTCATATTGTAAGATGATTCCATCATTTTTAAAATCAAAAAACACGAGATTAAAAGAATAAATTTTATGGAATTTTGTGACGTTGATCCATCAAAATAAAAACTTCCTTATCGTGAAAAGTTTTTAAAATAAATGGTATGAATATAAAACATACAAACACAGTATATTCATGTGTTTAACAGACTTTCAAGTTTTAATTGTCGAATGTTAAGTGCGAAAAATCAAATTGAAAAAAATGTGGCGCAAAATCTCTCCCCGTTATACAATTCGGATAAAGAAATTTAGCTTTGTCGGGAATGCCTTTATGATTATGATGAAAAGATTTCTAAAAATAGACGAACAATATATATTTCAATCGACCTGTCATTTATTCATTAATTAATTAAATACTTGACCGGAATCTCCATTCCTAAATTAGTATCATTTATTTTCTATTAATTCATGAAACCTTTGTCAAATCATATATAGTAGTAATAATTGTGTCGATTTTATAATTTTAAGGGTAAAACTAAAAAAAAAAAAGCTCGGAAAGACTCTTTTAAGTTAAGATGCTATTTAATCGTAACATATGATGTCCATAATCGGATTCATTAATTAGTTAGATCATATGATTTACTTTGTGTCTAATTATAGAACGATCAATGATCTCAAAGAACAAAACAATAAATAAAATAAAAGATAAAAAATAAATACAAATTTATTTTAATTTTTTTGTTTTACTGTACTTGCATATCATTAGATCATAGATAATATTAAGATAATATTTATTTTGTAATAGTAATTATTCTAATTGACGCGATAAAATTTTTCCTTTTTCATTTTATTGTAATTTTACCCAAGATTTAGACATTTCCAAACAAACATTAAAAGGATATTATTATGTAAAGCTATTGCCCTTTCTTTATTAATAATATTTTTAAGCGATTGATAATAATGAGGAAGTATTCAAAACGTTGTATGGCATAATCATTATATTTTATTATTTTATTGTCAAGTAGATACAAATTAGTTCTTTTAAACGAGATTTTGGAACTTTCGGATTCTATAATATTAAAACTCGCGCCAAAAATAAAAATATCTTTTGGTAATTATAATGATATAATTATAAAGGCTTTGTTCTAATTTTATAAAATTTTTCCAAGTAGATTGTTATATTATTAAAATAATAGATAAATTTACGTGAATTTGACATAAATGGAACAACTCCAGAAAAAACAATGGTTGCTTGCCGATATCATGTGACCTTACAATTCTTACAATTTATCGCACCTCCACCTTTTTTTTATTTCAAAGTATTCGGGGAATAGAGTTGTGTAAATTCCTATTTGTCACATATCATTATAGCGCCAGGAATAACTTTATATTCCCGTAACAAATCAAATTTTTTAAAATTTTCTTTTTGTTTTTAAATAAAGAAATGACGCTACAGCTTCAATCATGTGATATGTTCATCATCTTGTTATCGTTATTGTTATCATAATTTGGAAGCGATCAGCAGGTGATGAGAGTTATTGTTTCTTTACAAATCACTACTGCCAAAAGTAACAACAATACAATTATTCGGCTAATAGTAGATATAAATTCAACAGAAAAAATACTTTTATTCCTTTATTCTTTTCAATCTCAATTTTTTTGAATTCTTAAATTTAAAAAAAAAATAATAATAAATCATGTCTGTTTATACAGAAATTTTTCAACCCTTTATTAGCTTATTCACTCAGTCACAAGTGCAAACAATCCTCTTGGCATGGCTTCCAACCAAATTAGAATCTTATTTGTCTGGAATTATGGCGGTCGATATGTTTATTACCAGTGTCTTTGCGTATGGAATTAGTGCTTTAGCTTTTACATTATTCACGTTATTTGGATCTAACATCATAAAAGGTTCATGGAGAAATAGAAGAACCGTCACGGCTCAAATTGAACATAATATTATAGGACCGTATGGTATACCAAACGTCAATCCACTTTATGAATCTTTATCTTGGTTAATCTCTCAACAAACAAAATCTCTAGAAAATGGTTCATTCATTGTACAACTTACAACAAATTTTATGATCAGTGATAATGAGAAAGACGAATACTCCCCTCCAGAATTTAATATTCTTCCGGAGAAAGATCAAGAAATTTCCATTGAATTTAAAGGAAAAAGATTCAAGGTTGAATTTAACGTTCCTAACCTTCATGGTCCTAATAATATGTTTGATGATGGTCATAATAAAAATAACAATAACAAAAACGATACAAAAGTAAAACCTTCAATTTTCTTGACAACTTTAAAAGATTCCAACACGAACGTTGATTCCATAACAGAATTTTTATATGAAGTTACACGAGCTCATAAAGAAGATCAGAAAAAAATGAAAGGGCGTTCAAGATATGAACGAAATGATTGCGGTTGGGAATACGTGCAAACGTTATCTTCAATTAGAGGTTTGGATACAGTCGCTTTAGATGAACCACTTGAATTATTATTAAGTAAGGAATTAGAAACATTTGTAAATGATAAAAGTTTCTACGAAAGAATTGGAATGCCTTATCGACGTGGTATTTTATTATACGGAAAGCCGGGTACTGGAAAAACTAGTCTTGTAAATGCGATCTCTTCACAACTATCTCGTGATATTTATTACTTAAATCTCAAAAACATCAAGGATGATAATGATCTAAGTGCCGCGTTTAGTGGCGTTCCCCCTAATAACCTTATTGTGCTTGAAGATGTTGACACTCAATCAAAAGTACTTCATAAACGAACTGAGAATTCTTCCAATTCCGATTCCGATAAAAAGAGTAAATCAGAAGAAAAATTACGATTTAGTTTATCAACTTTCTTGGGATATTTGGATGGTCATGTATTAGCTGAAGGAAATATCATCATTATGACTACAAATCACGTTGAATTTCTTGATCCTGCTTGTATTCGTCCTGGTCGTATGGATGTACATCTGGAACTTGGTTATTGTACTCATTATCAGATTAAAAAAATGTTTAAAAGCGTGGTAGAAAATCCTGAAGTTGAGTTCCCTCAAGATATTCTTGAAAAAATTCCCGAAAGGTTGTTGCCTCCTTGTGAAGCTATGATGACTATGGTATTATATCGTAATGAAATTGACCAGATTCCACAAAAGATTTATGAATTAGTCACAAAATATGTAAACATGAAACCTGAAGATATTGCAAAACAAATGGAAGAAGAAATGCTCCGGATTGAAGAAGCATCTGCCAATTTGGATGATCATTCAACAAATCGTAGAGTGGACGAAGATAGTGATACAGATGTAGATTTCGATTATAGGAAAAATAACATAAAAAACATGAGAAACTTCAAAAATGCCAAAAACGGTAAAACGTTTGACAAATTCTTCGCAATAGTACCATAAACATTTTAACATTTAAACATTTTATTAGTATTATAGCATTATTTTAGACAAGATTAGTTTACATATATATATATATATATATTATATGTTACATATTTCATTAAATAAAATAGAAAAAAATGATTTTTTTTATAATCTAAACAGTTTCGAATATATATTCCTGTCAAAGCTCTTTTTAATTTTCTAATATCAATTATAATTTTTTTTTTAAATAAAAGTGTTAGTTTTAAAAAATAAAGCTTTATTTTTTTTTTTGTTATGTTGCAACAAAATTTGATGTAAAAAAAATCGCGAATTTAGTGAAATTTGGAAAGGAGGAAGGAAACTATTGATCGTGTTCTAGATAATCCAAAAAGTACCGTGTTTTAAAATAATGATGTCGACATAAACTTTTCTCTCGGTCAAATGGTAAATTGTTCGCAAGTTTCTGCACCAAAAATTCCCAATAAGAAAAATTGTCATGGCATATAAAAAAGATAAATTGGTATAACGATCATGATGTGCCAATTAGTATGAAGGATAAGGATGGTAAAACTGTTATAATTACTGGAAATTTTGCTCGTATTGATAATGGTGAATCTGAACCAATGCTATTTTTAGGCATGTCAAACATCTGCCAAAAGAGGAGCATAAATCATCACCTCAGGTGTCTCCTAACTCCTCTGATCCAACTAGTGGGAAGGACTTAAAAAAAAGTGCATAAATTATGTGAAGCTTGAAGAGCATCTTACAAAGGCTGAAGACTGGCTTGGTAAGGCAATAAGCACCATAAAAGTACTTGCTGAAAAGCAGTGAATTAATAAGTGGGATGAAAATTAGCATGGCTAGTTTTTAGAAACCTAAATAGATTTGCCAAGATCATCCATTTCTTTTAATACTTTTTCAAGTTCAGACCCCATCTTAGATATATTATCATTAGGAGAAGTGTTATTAATGATAATAGAATCATCTGTTACATTAGAAACTATACTTGGTTCACTTGTTTTCTTTTTTCGATTATTTTTTTTAGTGATAAGGCAGATAAAAAGGGAATATCATCTCCTTTTATTTTAGCTGAAGGTGATATAGTATAAGATTCAGCATTAGAAATATCACCTATTGGCTAATTCAAAAGAATTCTATTAACTCCTTCACTTCTCCAAATCTGATATACAGTCAACTCTCTATAAATGCATCCCCTTAGGACCAGACACAAATGTGTATTTAGAGAGGATGTGCATTTATAGATATATATAAATTTATATTTCATTAATATAAAATTAATGTAATACAAAAAATTTTATAAGTAACTATTATAAAAATTTTTTGTCAAAGTGTGCATTTACAGAGTAAGATATATGTAAAATATGTATTTAGCATATAAGTCCCAGCTTGTGACCAAGCAAAAAAGTGCATTTATAAAGGATGAGTATTTATAGAAGATGCATTTATGGAGAGTTGACTGTATATGCTTCATTGATATGTTATATTTATCCATAAATTTCTTTAAAATTTTTTTTCAGCTTCTTATCACAGCATTATATAATAAAATCATAATTGGCTGATGAATCATATGTTATTTAACCATAATCACAATGATGTATTTTTCTTAGATAAAATAGTTAATAAAAATATTAAATAGAATAAATAGAAAAAATATATTTTTTTGAATATAGATATTCTTTTAATAAATAGGATAAATAGGATAAATGTATTATTTTGAAAGATCATATTATTTTAAAATGAATATATATTTTTTATTTTATTATATTTGCAGGATAAAAGAAAAAACTATGTCTTAAATCTATTTCTTAAATGATATAGGTAATAGTGATCGCAGTAAACTTGAAAGCCTTTCATCTAATTTATATTTACCTAATCATTTAGAGCTTGAAGAATAGCTAAAAAAAAATATGAAATATTTATAAAATCTGCTAAAAAACTTATAGCTAAATATCATTTATGTCTTAGATAAAAAAATAAGCATATGAAAAATGATTTAGATTGATCTCATGAAGAAAATGAGTGGTATAATTAATGAGCTAAATAATACAAATATTAAGCTTGAATCCAAATTTACTTACAAATAAAAGTCTTATATTAATCTTAACATCAAGTAGTTAAAAAGAAATAAAATCACTAAAGTTTATGGTTAATTTAATAGAAAGCTTAACATCTTTAACATAAAAAGTTTCATTTTTAAAGGATTTTGAAATTGCCTCTTTTGAAATTAGAATAAATAAACTAGAAACTAAGTTAAAACAAAATATGCAAAGAGCTTTATTAAAGAATTCTGATATTATTCAATTGATAATAATTCCTTACTTGAGATTAACATTAAAGTAAAGGAATTAAAAATAAAAAGAAGCAAGTTATAAAATCATCATTTAAAGATAGATTAATTTTCTGTCTCAGATCTAAAATAAGTGATTTGAAATATAAACTATAATAACACCACATTAGTCATCTCATGATTTGAATATAATAGGTGGTATAAAAGAGATCTAGTCTTATTATTCAATGATTATAAAAATAGTTAAGCAGTAAAAGAGATATCTTAGTTACAGGAAAAAGTAGATTTGGTAAGAATAATATTTGACAAATCTTTTTTTGATAATAAAGCTAAATATATATATAAAGATAAAAAAGTGAGTCACAATATATTTTATATAATAATTTGATAGTATGTGAATACTATCCTGATAAGCCAAAATGAGCATTTGCAAAGTATATGTATAACTTAATTTCAAAAGATTCAAAAATGCCTTACTATGCAGATATTAGTTTCAATTACTTCTCACCTAAAAAATTTCCAATACAAAAACATTTTTGCATGAGAAAAATACAGCAATTTTTTTGAGGATTTATATCTTACTCTAAAGCAGTGATGTGCATTTTATGCTTCCAATGGTAAAAAATTTGATTGAAAGCTTCCAATCCAAATAATTTTATTAATAAATTATATTTCCAAACCTTCCAAAAGTGCTTCCAAAGGTGCTTCCAATTTTCCAAGTGCACATCACTGCTCTAAAGCATATACAGAAATAAATTAACCAATTTTTTAAAAATGTGTGACATCAGATTATTTCATGCATATATATAATACAAAAATATCATAAAATTAATATATTTATACGTAAAAATCCTAATTTACTTAGTACTTTTTAGCTCTGATAGCTCATATGAAAATGTTTTCAAAATTATTAAACATTATAATAATGATATAAAAAATGTATTGATAGTCATTAATAGCTACCTTTAAAAAAGTGAATTTATTATATTTGATTTAGATAAGCTAAAAAATAACCTTCTCGCAATTTAGCTAAAGTTTAATATACCATTAAACCTGTAAAACGAGATAGAGATAAGTCTTAGATATAACTTATTTCAGTCACACTTCCTAGAAATTTTTTCTAATAGGATAGGATCTTTAAAGTTATTTAAAAGACTTTGATATATTTTTTTAATCTAGCTCTTTGATAATTTATCAATAATATATTTATATTCAAAATAGAATACTTTATTGAATATAGTTTTGCACAAAAAAAGTTTACACAAAAAATCATACTTATAATAGTATTATTACATTAAAAGACTTTATTTTACTAATAAAATTACATGTTAATATTATAAATATAAGATCTGCTAATTCTGATTAAAAAATTATGTGTGATATTCTGATGATTGATTGCGTTGGCATTGGTATTGGCATTGGCATTGATGTTGATATTGGCATTGGCATTGGCATTGGTATTAGCATTGGTTTTGATGTTGATGTTGATGTTGGTTGTTAAATAAAAGGAAAAAAAGTCATGTAATTTTGGATGAATTGAATTCACTGAAATTTTGCCAAAAAAAATCATATATTTGTAATACTGACCATTTTGTTAAGAAAATTTTATTATCTAAACTTGTATGAAAAATATTAATATATATTTATAAAATTGATCACTAGGGTTACATTATTGGTATAAATAAAAATATATAACAAAAAATATTAAAGAATTTAGTTATGTCATACAAATAAAAAAACTGTAGAGCTTTTTTCTATATTCTGATTTGATCTTTTTAAAATGCATTGTATAATATGCTTACATAATGATCAAAATATTTTATAATATCAGTAATAATTCTATAAATTTTTTTTACAATAGATGGATCTGATAGTTGAATTAACATTTCTGATATATAAAGATAATAATATTAATAAATCTTACTCATATTTCTTATAAGAATACTCAAATATAATTTTTTTCTAGCTATCTATATTCTGATAATTCTAAATTCAACCTTATCAGATTTACAATGTTATGAGTCTAGTTAAGGTTGCTAGACGAAATTCAGAGTTTAGACAGATGTCTAAATAATAAAAGTAAAATTTGGTTATATTATATTAAAATCTTATTAAAAAAATCTGCAAAATTTAGAAAAAGGTAAAACTATATTAAAGCTTATAAAAATGGTGAAACTATATCAAATACTTAGTAAAAATTTAGCGAAATTAAAGGTTTAAATGTTTAGCCAAATCCAAAATGAATTTAGACAAGCAACTAGAATTCCTCAAAATTAAATCGAATCAAATATTTATGCAATTTGAATTTGATTTGATTTTTTCAAATTGTATCAAATCGAATCAAATTGAACTCAAATATTTGATCGAATCAATTTGAATCAATTTGAATTTGATCGAATCGAATCAAATTGAATC